GAGGTCTTTGAGAGCGGGGAGTTGAAAATGTTTCGGTGGTGGTTGTGCAACATCGCGGTGATACTAAATATCACTGAACTGTACACTTCTAAGTCATTGATTTTAGAGTGTGTTTACTGTCAGCTAAAAGAAGAGTGATGGAACCAGTTGTCTGGATATGAGTGAATCTCACTACTGAAACAGTCTGTATCAGTACTCTCTTCTTTTTTTTTTTTCCCCCTTGGTACCAGGGATGGAGCTCAGGTCCTTGCACTTGAAAGGCAGCTGCAGAACCACTGAGCTAAATCCCTGGCTCTCTCTTTCTACTTTTAAAACTGATTATTTAATTTCATTAAGTAATGTCATTGCAGTGCTGGGGATTGAACCCAGGGCCCTGCATCTGCTAGAAAAGTGCTCTACCTTGGAGCTCCAGCCCCATTTTAAAATTCACCCTGTGAGGACACACACCTTTAATCCCAGTACTCTCAGAGGCTGAGGCAGGAGAATCAAAAATTCCAGCCCAGTTTGGACAATTTAGCAATGTAATGAAACCCTGCCTCAAAATAAAAAAAATAAAAGGGCTGGGATGTAGCTCTCAGCACAAAGGCTCTGGGTTCAATTCCCACTACTGGAAAAAAAAATTATTTGAAAGGAAACTGTAAATGCAAAGCACCGCTGAGTCTTAAAAATAATGGTTCATGCTTATTTTGCCAGCACTCAGGAGGCTGAGGCAGGAGGGTCACAAGTTTGAGGCCAGCCTATATAGTGAGTTTAAAGTCAGCCTGAAATACACAGCAAGACCCTATCTCAGAACAAGCAAACTCTCCTTTTCTCACTGCTTTTTTAAAGAACACAGTAAAGTTCCCCTGAGGGACACTTAACTTTTTTTGGGAGGTACCGGGGATCGAACTTGGGACCTTTTAACATTTTTAATTGCAGCTTTTTTTTCCTTTTAACTTTAGAATTAGTTGGTTATGCACAATATACACTGTGATGTCAGAATGCATTATGGAACAATAGATACATATTGCTTACATCTTAAGATGAATAATTCGTAGATAGATGCACAGGATTTTTCTTTTTCTTCTTTTATTTATTTTATTTTTTAGGTACTGGGGATTGAACTTGGGTCCTTGCACTTGCGAGGTAGGTGGCAGAACCACTGAGCTAAATCCTCAGCCCTCTTTTTCTTTTTTTATACTTTTTTTTTTTTTTTTGGTACCAGGGATCAAACTCGGGTCCTTGCGCTTGCAAGGCAGGCCACCAAACCACTGAGCTAAATCCCTGGCTCTTTTTCTTCTTTTAAATGGAATCTCATGCTTTATTTCTGCTCTTCCAAAGAGGCTTTAATTTGTTACCTACAGGTAACAAATTTATTATTTATTTATTTAGTTTTTTGAGACAGGGTCTCACTACATAGTTGAGACTGACCTGGACCTCACTATGTAGCCCAGGCTGGTCTCGAACTCACAGTGATCCTCCTCCCTCAGCCTCGGGAGTGCTGGGATTACAGGCGTGCGCCACCACGCCCAGCTATATACTTTTATTTTTAAAATTATTTTTATTAGTACTTTCTCTAAGCCAGAATTAAATCCACGTGTACAACTCTCCTTAGCTAACACTATACAAGCCAGAGCTTCTCTGCTTTTTTGGTACCGGGGATCGAACTCAGGACCTTGCATTTGTGAGGCAGGCATGGCATAACTGAGCTAAATCCTCGGCCCTTAGAGCTTTTCTGTTTTATAAGAAAGCAAAGCAGAGGTTCTAGCTCAGTGGTTGAGCATATGGCTAGCATGGGTGAGGCCCTGGATTCCATCCCCAGAGTCACAAAAAACATAATTAATCAAAATAAAAATTGGGACCGGGAATGTAGCTCAGTGGTGTCACACCTGCCTGGCAAGCACAAGATCCTCAATTTGACTTCTGGTTCCCCCCATAAATAAATAAATAAATAAACTAGCAAATAGTGAGCCCTCAAGTTACGACGGACCTGACATACAAACAACTTGGGTTAATTAAGTTAATGGAGGATTCATCTGCCTCTTGCTATCTATACCGTGTACCCAGGTAAACATCCAGATGTCAGCTGTATTGACTTAAAACCACTTTGAGTTACAGCCAGTCCTTGGGAATCGATCCAGTTCGTAAGTCAAGGTCCCACTGTATTAGAAAGGTGTGAAAGCTGAAGGAGCACAGGACTGAGACTTTTCCCTCCACACAGTCAGAAGGATTGAAAGAGAATTTCCGGCTGGGTCTCAGGGTCGGTCAGAGCTGTGCTCATGCACACCCCGGTCCTGGATGCGGGGATCCGAGTCACCCACGCCGAGGCTCTGTGCCGGGTCCTCTATCGAGTGACACTGGGGGAAGCAGCGCTTCCCTGTCACGTCACCCTCACAACCCCCAGGCTTGGTTTCTGCTTCCGGTTTACCGATGAGGAAACTGAGGCTTGGGGGGGGTGCGGGGCGGGGCCAAATTCACAGGACTAGAAGTGAACCAAGGCGCGATCTGAATCACCGAGCCGCTGAGAAGCAAGCCAGGGTTTGCCAACTCCGGAGTCCCTGGGTCAGGCAGTGTTCATGAAGGACACAGACGAGATCCATCAAACTCCCCCTTTTGACAAATACATAGACTCACCTACCATTTCTCTTGAAACACTGAACTGCACGCTCTACCTTTTACCTTCCTTTTTTTTTTTTTTTTTAAGAA